TCCCTCTCCCTTCCCTCCAGCTCTTTTATTCTTCTATCTTCATCTGTCTTTACTCTGGTTCTACCCTCCTTCCTCTTGTAACCTGATCAGTGGACAAGAGCATTTGTTCTTAAGCCTATTACTTTTATTCCCCCCAACGTTTACTTCAGGCCCATCAACAAGGTAAATACTTTTGAAACCTCCCTTCCTAGAACAATAATTTTCGATCTTTGATAAAATCATTCTGTAGGGCTGAGCCCTCTCAGCTATGAGGAAACTTTGGCCCTATTCTCACTTTTTTCATTACTGAAATATGTACTATATAGATATAAATATAGACACTCATATACACACATGTACACACATACATAAATATATATATGAATACAATATATAGGAGATCACATAGTGTATGTGTACATATACCCACATAAACATACACATATATACATAACATACAGATAAATGTAATATACAGAGCACTTAGTATGATTACTATATATGTGATATATAGTAACATATTGCTATGTTCATGTCCCTTACATACTGTATTCACATGTATTATGTTCATATATGTATTTCAGTAATGAAAAAATATATTACTATAAAATATATTTTGTGGTATATGAAGCAGTTGGATTGCTCAGTGGACAGTGCACTGGGCCTGGAGTCAGGAAGACCTGAGTTCAAATCCAGCCTCAGACACTTACTAGCTGTGTGACCTTGGGCAAGTCACTTAACCCTGTTTACCTCAGTTTCCTCATCTACAAAATAAGCTGGAGAAGGAAATGACAAACCACTCCAGTATCTTTGCCAAGAAAACCCCAAGGGTCACAAAGAGTTAGACCCAACTGAAAATGACTAAACGACAAACCTTGGTCATTTTCCTTCTTTATTCTTTCTTTCTACCCCTCCCCCCAAATAGTTTTCCTAATGCTATTTTTCTACTTGATATATTATTCCAAAGTGCTGACAAGCATGTATTAACATGTTTCTTCAGGATTGCTAGCAAAATATGTATTCTCTTTTGAGAGGAATAGGGTGATATCCATTATAATACAGAAACCTAATTAGACTCAAAATGATAATGCCAGAGGGCATAATTTATTATTAAAAAATATGCAACTTTCAACTGGTTGGTGCTATACGTCCCTTGTCAACTATATTCAGAATGAACCACAAATATGTTAAATAGTAACTATTATGGAAAAAGAAAACCTAGAATCTGAATTGTATGTGTTGCCTAATTATAAACATATGACATAGGGCTTGCTCAAGTCATGGCACAAAATTTTCTGGGTCCAATTATATTTTGAGGTCTCTGATTTAACCACTCATTGAAAAAGTGGTAGGGAGGCCTAAGTGAAAGGAAGTCTCAAACCACTCTCTGTCATAGTAAAATAGTAGGATTTCTTTTCTTTCTTCTTTCTGCTTCTTTCCTTCCTTCCTTCCCTAACTTCCATCCTTCTTTCCTTCCTTCCTTATTTCTTTTTAAATTTTTTAAAAATCCTATAGAATAGGACAGTTTTCTCTTGGAAGCTTAAGAAGCAATCATAGCTGGAGGCAGGAGATTTAAAAAGGTAGTTATTAACATTATTGCTACTATATACTTTTAGGATATGTTTCTTCTGAAATGCTTTTATATTTTAAGGTAATTGATTCTGTCAGTCTTCTTGTGGGGTAGGGAGGATTTGGGAGTTGACATTACTAATCCTCTTTCATGTATAGCAAAATTAAGGCATTGAAAGGTCAGGCAAATACCAGATTGTCTGTGAGGGCAGGAATTCTTTACATCAAAACTTTTATATTTCCTCTAAGTGCCTGGCCTCTGCACACAGTAGGTAGTTAATAAATGTCTGTTGAAGTTTTCTGCCAAATTTGGACAGTAAGTTAGCAATCAATGAAGTCAGAACTAGCACTTTGGATTCTTTTGCTAGTATTCCAGACTTGACTTTACCATTGTTAACAAGTCTTCCTGGAATTGTTAAAACTGTATTCTGCGAAAATCACTGGAAGACCTGAGGTAAGAAAGGAGAAAGACAACTATAACAAAATATGCTAAGCTTTGACGGATGGGACAACCCTGAAGGCAGAAGGAAGGATGAGCACAGTAGCTTAGCTCCTAGCTGCAGTTAACAACCCAAGGCTGCTCAAACTACCCAGTGTTCTCTGTCAGTACTTATTCAGCAAGGAAGCATTCTTTCCACTCCCAGCAGAAAACTGCTTATTGTAATTCGAAGAACTCAGCAGGCTTCCCGCCTTTCTTGTGCAGCTCTTGAGAAGAAACAGGTGTCCAAGACTGGGCACTTTGAAAGCAACTGTCCTCATGACTACAGAAAATATTCCATGGGCACAGAGACCAGGCCCAAAGTTAAGTTCTGAGACATTTATAAATTTATATATAAAATTTATAAAAATGGGTCTAATACATTTTTCCTCCATGTAAACCAACTCCATGAAAGATTTAGATACTCCTTTTCAGGGACAGAGAGACAAGTTGGAATAGTATTGTATTATCAAACCAATCCCTTTAGAAGGATGGATACCAAGAACCAAAGAGAACGGCTGAAAACTTCTCCTCCAACCACATGTCTGAAGAAGACCTGATTCTGATAGAATCCCATGTGTCTCTTCTTGAGGAAGGAAGAGGTCCTGCTACCTCCTGATATTGCTTTACATGATCCCATGATTTCACATTACCAATGCTACCCTCCCCCCTTTTTTTTTGACAACCCAACCTTCTATGGGCCCAATAGAGTCACAAGCAGCACAGTGATCAAAAGAGGGCCAAATTGGTATTAAGTACATCTCAGTTGATAGGATCATATGTTTAGAGCTGAAAGGAATCTTAGATGCCTTGGAAGTCTAAACCTTCCCCTTTTTACATATGACGAAATTGAGGCAAAGACAGGTTAAGTGATGTACCCAAGGTCACCCATCTAGTAAGGAGCTAAGGCAGGATTTCAACTCTGGTTTTCCTAAGTCCAAACCAGAACTCTAATCAGTACTGTACCTAGCTGCCTCACAAGCTAGCTGTGTGAACTTGGGTCAGTCCTTTCACTTTTCTGGCCTTCAGTTTCATTATCTCTAGAACAAGGCTACTGGGTTAGATCAGGCATTCTTAACCTAGAGTTCTTAAACTTAAAAAAAATTTTTTTAATAACTGTATTTCAATATAATTGGGTTCTTTTGAAATCCTTTGCAATTTGTTTTATGCATTTAAAAACTTTCTGAGAAGCATCTATAGGCTTCACCATACTGCCAAAGGGGTCTATGAGATATAAAAGGTTACCAGCCTCTTGAGTTAGGTGATCTTTATGGTTCTTCCAGTTCTGACCTTCCATAAATAAGAATTTATTCTCTAATCCCCCAATTCCCATATTTTGATACCTTTGAATTGCTTCCTAGTTTCCTATTACCAGATTCTTTTTAAATTCATACTAATTTCTTGCTTATGTCCTAGGTACATGGGTCAGACCTTATTTCATAGCTATGCTACCCAACATTATATCTTGTATAGGGAATGTACCTGTGATTTCATTGATAGAAGGAACTCCCAGATGAGTAACCTCCCTTCACCAATGAAGGTCATCATCTTCTCTGGAATTAATAATCTTAGAGAGTTACCTAGAATACTGAGAGGTTAAAAGACTTGCCTGGAGTCACATAGTCAATCTAGAAGAGAAAAGACTGGAACTTGGGTCTTCCTGGCTTCAAGAACATCTTTACTCTTTATATAAGACTGCCTCTCTATCACCATATTAAGTTATTTTATTCTTTCAAAATTGTTCATTATAAGATGACGATCATTTCTAAGAGACAAAAATGAAGGGTTCAAGTTCAAATCAGCTAGTTACATTTACCCTTTCTTGGTTTGGATTTGCTCTTTCCTTTCAAGAAATTAAAATAACTGTACCTGTAGAATTATCTTCCTTAGATCATTATTGCCCAACACACGAGAGGGGTCTGCTGGATCGGTTAGAGTAGTTTTTGGGGGGTTAAGATAGCACCCATGTTGGTCCAAATTACAGTGAGTGTGAATTGTCTTCCCGGAATGCTGTCTATGCAGAACTGCACAACCAATAAACTGGTTCTTCATTTACCCACATGGGCAAAAATGTTACCTTTAAATGCCATACTAACGATAAAGATGATGATGATAATCTATAGTTATGTAGCATTGGTATGGTCTACAAAGCTCCCCTTCCTCTTTCTATTATCTCATTTGATTCTCATTATAAACTTGTGAGGTAGGTAGTAGAGATACTATTATGCCTCTATTTTTGCTTTTCTTTGTATTCTCAGAGCTCAGCACAGTACCTGGCACATAGTAGGGTCTTAAAAATGCTTTTTTAGTTGATTGGACTTGACTTATTATCACCTTCTTTCAGGAGAATCTCAGAAAGGCTGTGACTTGTCCAGTCCCCAGTAAGGGATAGAGCAAGACTAGACCCAGGTCTTCTGACTTTTATTCATTATACTATACTATCATGACTCACAGTTCACTTTTCTCTCCTGCCCTCAAGAGGAATCCAGTCTACAACCACCACTCTGCATTCTGTGTTCAATTGATTTCCAGTCTACAAAGGAAATTACGCTGGCTTTTCCCACAGTGGGAAGGCAATAACTATGGTGGACAGATTGCCTGCCTGATCAAATTGTAAGAAGTAGAACCGTTGATCTTACTTTTTTTTGCCCAAACTGCAATGGTTTATCACATCTCAGTGGTTGTTTTTCACACTTGGCACTGCTCATGGCAATCTCACTTCTAATTTAAAGACTGGAAAAATCAGGTATGTTACTTTATGAGTCCAAAGATGATTTCAGAGGATACTACCTGCAGTATCTGTGGCTAAGGAAGTCTTCCTGGGCCACAGAGAATCTTAGAGCATTCCATCTCTTGGAAATGAAGCCAGGGATGGGGCAGAAAGAAATAATGAGAATGAAGGAATCATCATGCACACACAATATATTAACATCTTCAAAATGAATGCAAATCAGAAGTCAAATGGAAAGGATATCTTGCAGGACTGTCCTTGAGAGCATTCAGAAAACCTGTTTGCTGGGAACCTGTGGAAATGAAACCAAGATTTAACATCAAAGCAATCTCCCTACCCCCTCCCACCCCCAATAAAGTGTAGTTCATGTTGAGCATTGACATCTGCATGAAAATGGTAGATGTCTAAAGATCAATTAGATAATTCTATTCTGTAAGTGCTATAGCATGCAGTTTACTTGTATGAGACTGAGATTCGGCTCAAAGTTATTCAACAAGAATATGGCAAGACTCGTAATCAGACCTAACATCTGCAGGAGATTTTCTGAGCCAGAGCAGATGGATGTCTGCATACTTCCTCATCAATTACGGTTCTGATTACGCCTTTGTTTTCTTCTCCATTTTAATATGAAAACAAAACACCATACACTATTTTTTCCCCTCTGTCATGAAAAGCTGTTTTCTCAAAATCTGTTAACTTTTGAACCTAGAAGTCCTATAAAATGGGCTACCTCATAAAAGACTTCTGCCCCCAGCATAAACAAGATCACAAACTCTGAGTTTGTAACTTAATTCTTTTAGATATAATACATTTAAAATATGAGCTATCAGAGAAAGAAAAAAAATTCCTTTAAGGGCCCGAATAAAATTTCATCTGACCAGAGGACATTATTTTTATTATTTATGCATTGACATGTTACCTTGCTTTTAGAAAAGGAAAAAAAAAGGTCTTCCAGTGGATCTCTTTTACTGGTTGTTGCCAGTAGGGCAGAACTACCATTGATATTATTGGCTAACTAGGTTCCAGCAGGCTTTTGCTTATCTGCTGTCATGTTTTAGGGGACCTGGGCTCCCTTGCAATCGAGCCGTGTAATTGGAGCTGGGTTATAAAGGGGGCCCAGTGAAAATGTGAGCAGTCATTCTTCCTGTCAGTTTAGGTAATAGGACAGCTACCAATTGGAGGTTTGCTTTCCCAGTTCTACAATTCATTCTGGAGCTACCAGAAAAGTTGCATACTCTCCAGCTAACTCATAATTCACTCTTCCCTGTACCTATCCTACATCCCTGTGAAGCAAAGAGTAGCTCTGTGCGTGAATGGGAGTTGATGGGAAATGATGTGAGGAAATGTGTAAGAAACAAACAATGGAAAAATTGATGGTTAAAATGCCTCAGCCCCCATGGACCAGCAAGGATAAAGAAAGCTCTACTTCTTTGCTTTTATGCAAATCTTAACAGTCAAGGACCAAAAGAAGTTTAAGTCTTAAGAAAGATAGTGCAGGGAAGGCAGTCATGATGCAAAATTAGGACACTACAAATGTTATTTCTTACCTCACCCTACTGAAAATAAATGAGATTGTTTTTCTAAAGATTTCATCTTTCTACTTAGAAATCCAGAATTGGGGCTTTCAAAAATTTATGTCCTATGAGTGTAACACATGTTTTTAAGATACCAATATTCTTTACTTTCCTTTGACTTTATCTCTAGCCTTTCTTATTCTGTGGACAGACATGACAGATGGTTTATCAGCTGCAATCAAGAAGATATTGGCCCTTACCAATGTTTTCTGCATTTGGGGATCAGAATAGTGATCACATGAAGACATCCCCCCTTCCTCCAAGGACCACATGATAGATAAGATGGAATTGGGCAAAAGGGTTTCTTTCTTTCTTTTTTGCTAGGCAATGGGGTTAAGTGACTTGCCGAGGGTCTCACAGCTAGTAAGTGTCAAGTGTCTGAAGCCAGAATTGAACTCAGGTCCTTCTGACCCAAGGGCCAGTACTCTATCCACTGTACCACCTAGCTGCCCCAACTTTCTTTCTTTCTTATAGATCTATGTGTTTATGGAAGGGCAGGTAGGGAGAAGGAAAAAAGCATTAGACAAAATGCTTTTGTCTAAGAAAATGTTATGATGTATTGCAGGCTAATAGATCGGTAGAAATTTTTATCTTTTTTAAAAAAATTTTTCCATGGGAAGACTGATGAATAATGCCTAAGAAATACCTAAGAAATCAATGTTGCATAAAAGCAAAAAGTGAAAATGGCTGCTAATAACTGAGGCAAATTTGAAGAAAACTAACTGAAAAATCTTCATTTGAAGACTGTACAATCCAACCCAACTATGTTAACAAGGATTAGGTTGTAACTTCCTGCTTGAGAGTGCATGTTTTGTGTGTGTGTGTGTGTGTGTGTGTGTGTGTGTGTGTGTGTTTACATGCAAGTGTGTGCAGCTGTGTGTATGGGTTTGACTATGTAACAGGGAGGTGGGGGGGATGGAGAGAGAGGGATACATTCACAGAAAGACAGAGGAAGATTTATATCCTTGTAAATAATCTTTTAAAAGTATTGGGTCAGCTCATTAAACACCATCAGATAGACATGAAAGCATTTTGGAGCATTTAAAAGCATCATCCTGATTAGCATCAGTGCAATCTGCTATTGGTACGTTTCCGTTAGTTGTGTTGGGTAGTTACTTCTTTTGAAAATACTACGTGATACTCTCGGTTTTCCCACCCTTACTCTCTCTCTCTTGCTCTGTGTGGTGCTAACTATTCTGGAACCCTGATAACATGCAGAAAAGGTGGCCCTGGGGAACTATAGTCTGCACCATTTGAAGGAGCTGAATAATTTAGAGGCTTCCAAATTGGATCTTAAGTTTCTTCATGGACCCCCACCAAGAATAAATGGCTGTACAATGGTTTTCATGTACATAGTTTGCTTCAAACCAGTCTGTTCCAAATTCAGATGAAAGGATCTTAATTCTAGAATATTGGCACTATTATTTGAAATATATCTTAAAATTTGGGACATTACATTTACTGTAATGTTTAAATACTGAATAATGCCTAAGAAATACCTCTTCTCTGATCCTTTCCTTCCTCCTTCCCCCCTCCCACCCAACCAAATGAAAAAAGGGCAGTAGAAAACTTAGATGCCTAACTTCAGCATTAGCAACTCCATTTGAGGTTTTAGAGCTGCTACGATGAAAGAAGAGGAAGCCTATTTTCAGATTCCTCCGGAAGCATGCCAGCAAGATGCTCTATACCTTCTAATGGGTGGGTTACACTTTAGGAATGCGGATAAGAAATAATGTTAGTCTTTTAATGTTGCTAATGGAACCCTAATGGATCTTTAAAGGCTTAAATTTACAGCCCAAAGCCAATTAACTCCCTTCTCATCACTATCTGACAAGGCAAAGGACAAGAATAAGGGATAAAAGAAATTCCTAGTGATCTTCAGAATGAGGTCTCAGGTTTAGCAGGGAGAGAATAGATAACCTAAACCTCAGCCAAGTCAGCTCAAAATCATTGCAACCAACCCTCTTAGAGTGTTTTCCTCACAGTCACCTCATTCACTCGACAATAAGTGGGTCAAATATCCTACTATGACATCAGAAAATTTTTATTTATGACAAACTCTCTGCATATGTCAGTTAAGCCTTATTTTTAAACAAACTACATTTGAAAGGAAAAGAGATATAAAAAGAAAGGGAAAGAAGTTAAATTACCCAAGAAACCCAGTCCAGTCATATACAATACACTGTTGTTTTTAGGGAACTCTCAGCAAAATCTAGCTCAACTAAATTGTCAGCATTTGAAGTGTGGTCCTTTGGAGTCAAGTGTGGGGTTATCACTTAAAAGAACCACCCACAAAAAGTTGAAGTAACTTGATACTTCTGTGTTTTGAAAGGTAAAAATTATGTAGGTGGTCCCAAGGAACCAAGCTCTGTAAAGGAAAGACTGAATTGGTCACTAAGTTGGAAACCACTCTTGGTAGGATTGAGGAGGGCAATGGGGAAGAGGGAGGGAAGGGAAGAAAAAAAAAGGAAAGGTGAGGAAAAACAAAAGGTGGGGGCAGGTTGGAAATGAGGAAAACGGAAACTGAAGGAAGGGAAAAGAAGAAAAAGAGAACCCTGAATGATCAAAATATTAAATCAAAGCTAAATAAATCAGAAAACCAAAGTCAAGCAAATGATTACATACATAATCTGATTTTGCCAGCATACTTACGAAGAATGACGTGGGTGATAACGAATGCAAATATAAAGACTGTCAGAAAAGACAGAGATAAAATAAACATATAAAAAAATCTGTAGTTTCTTTTCCCCACACAGTTGCCTACCCAGGGACAGTGATGATCAAACCGTTCTGAAATGAAAGAGGCAGAAAAAAAAATATGGAAATCAATTAATAAAATGTCTCTTTACTTGAGGGGAAAAAAACCCCAAAACAAACCTTTGAACAATATACCAAAATGATGACATCATAGGTATTTGTAAACTAACCTTTTAGAGAAGTATTTAGCTTCATGAGATTTCAACAGCAACATTACCCTTTTGTCTAAATTTAAATGCATGATTGAGATGATCTTTCAAAAGAAAAAAAAAAGATGTGCCTTCTTATTAAACTGTCACTTCAGAAATGTTAATAGGATTTCTTATCACACTTAGGGTGGAAAAAATAAGACTTCTTTGATTTTATGTGTTAATTCTCACTTAAGGATCTTCTATCAACAATACTCAAATGGATATAGGATCTTATAGTGGGTATCCCCTCTCATAGTGCCTACAATGTCATTCCCATACTATAGATGGAGAACTGTAGTTTACATGGGAATCCTTCGCTAGGATTAGGGAAATTCCCGGACAGAGTATACCTGGAATATCTGAAGGTAAAAAAGTGTTCAATATATGCTTCTTCTTTGCTTTCTTATCCCATTAATTTCTCCCTACCCCAGCTTTGTAGGTCCTTCTCAAAAAATGTTTCTTCTTGATCAATGGTGAATGGTTGTCTTCAAAATATAAGTCTCTAGGACCCTAATCTGCTCCCTATCCCTAGGAGTCTTTCTTGGGTTTTTAAAAGTAAATGTGAGCTTTCTTGTCACCATGACAATTTAAAATGAAATCTTTGATGTATTTATGATTTATTTTTTCCTCTGCAAGTAATGACACAGTGTTTTTCTTTTCTCTACTATTCAGCTGATCTATTCAAAGTGATATTGCAACACACCCACTCACATTTAGGAAGCCTGCACTGTGGGTGGGGAAGAAAAACGTTAGGCATATGACTTATCTCTTTTTTCTGGTTCTTTTCCAAATTCAGTACCCATTTTATTTTCATACAAATAAATATATATGCATATATATACATATATATATATGCACATACACACACACACACACACATTATATACATCTATGTGAGGCGTCACTATAAAGAAACAGCTAATGTCATGAGCCACAGGTTAACTTTACAACAGGATCCTACAAAGGGTCATATATATTATTTTACATGTAATACCTTTATACATACAATATTAGCTGGAATGCCTGTGGGGATATTTGGATCATGGCAACCATTAGAATGACTAGAGCCTTACCAGGAAAATTGAGTATAAACCAAACAACTTTGCCCTGTGGGTACCAACTCCCTCCAATTGCCTCCCAATCTTTTGTTCCCCTAATTACTGGTATCAAAACTCACTGCTCTTGGTGAAAGCCCCATTTCCCTGACAACTTTCCATTTGCCTGTCTATTGAACTTTATCTGGCTCAATCTTATAGTTCCCCAGACCTCACCCTCCTCTGCCCCCTTCATGGTGCCCTTTGGAACCACAAACTTATTGTAAACAAATTCATCATTATAAACTTTTTCCTGTTATACTATTTTTGCCTCATGGCATTAACTGATACCTGGCTTTCCTTTGAGGATGCCATGTTCTTTGCTACTTTCTGAAATGATGGTGGTTCCTTCTTTCAAGTCTTTTAGGAACTGGGGCCTATCTCCCCACCCCAACTAAGCATCTGTCCCTTAAAGTTGGAGAAAGGAGATGAAAGCTTAGCCAGGACAAATGAATGGGTGGCTTTAGGCTAGACCTGAAACATAGAGTCACCCTTATGCCATCCCTCTGTTCTGGTGTTTGCTATGGCTAGGCAGCCATAAGTCATGATCCTAAATAAACACAAACATGTGGAAATAACTCACACTTACCAAAATGAAGACTTAAGAGGAAAAAATCTAGGAGCCCCATTGCCAATGGCACTACCACTAGCCATGCCTTGCACTCCAAGTAGCTTCTCGTACTCTTTCACCAACCTATTTTAAATATTTAATTCCCCCTTCCCCAACCAATGCAGAGGCATTTACTTTTTTTCTCTCCCCCACTCCCCTCCATCAATTGGACAAAAAGGGGGGGGGCAAAAAAGAGTAAACCTTCACAACAAATATCCATAGTCAAGTAAAGCTGTGTGCCCAAAGGACTCTCATTCTGCATTTTTTGAGTCTATCACCCCTCTCTCAAGAAGTAGGAAGCATTCTTCATCTTCAGTTCTCTGAAATTGTGGTTTTACCAGACATTCTGTCTGCTCAAAGGCTAGATTCCAACTCTATTTCCTCTATCTGACAACTTTCCCAAGGAGCTTTAGCCCATATTGTAAGACTTAACCAAATCTATGTTCAACTTTATCTGACTGTTCCCTGTAGCCTTGGCTAAACAGGAACTTCCTACTGGAGGCTATCCTCAATTGTACCCCAACAGTTTCCCACTATCCCTTCCATATTTATATATTGCCACAACTGATAGGGAGAAGAAACTATACTCCTTGCTTCTTCCTCCTGATTCCACATTTTTGCTTGGCTTTCACTCAAAAATGTCACCTCATTTGATGTTGATGATATTCCAGTATACCACTTTCTCTTGATCCTTGTTGCTTCCAGATAATCCCTTCTAGAATACTCTCTCACCTATCTCAATGACTTAGATACCTGGCTTATCGATTTCCTTTCCAGCCCATATTCTGCTGCCATTCTCGATGGCAATAATCACATTGATGACTCTTTCAACAGTTCATCAACCTCCTCAACTCTAATGAACTCCTCTATCCAGCTTCAGTCACCCACACGTTAGATATTCCCATCACTCAAAACTGCTCTACTTCCTAGATTTTGAACTTTGAAATTCTCCTCTCTGACTGCAATTTCCTAAATGCTGCCACACACTGCCAGCTGTATCTGATCTTCAACTTATTACAATCTTTGAGCCTTTGATCCACCCCTGTCCTTCCATGTCTTCCCCCTTGCTCTGGAATCTCACCTCTCCACTCACAGAATTAATTCTATGGTGAGCCACTTCAATAAGCCTTTTTCTCTGCCCTTGAATTCTTCACCCCTGACCTATTGTTGTTTCTGCCTTGTCAACTCTTCTTTCTGGCTAACTCTCAGATATGTTTTCATTGCTTCTATTCTTGAGTGTTGCTGAAGAAACCACACCAGCAGGAGCTACTATAAATTTATGCCGCCTGACTGCTGCGTGACAATATTTGGATTTTTCTCTTGTTGACCCAAGTTGCCTTCCCCATACCGTCTATTGTAAACTTTCTTCCCAAGCCCCAGACTCATTTCCCACCTAACTGTCTCAGCAGATAACCTTGCCTTCTACCTCATTGAAGGGGAAGAGAAGGGAATAAGCATTTCTATAGTACTTACTACATGCCAAGCATGTAGTGCTAACCACTTTACAAATATTACATCATTGAGAACACTGAGGCTACCTACCATGAGTACCTTCATTTCCCCTCCTCCACATCTCAATGATATCCTTGCTCACTGGCAAGACTAACTCTTCTCTATCTGTGCCTCTGAGCACATTCTCTTCTATCTCCTTCATGCTCTTGCTTGATCAACACTTTCTACTCTAGCTTTCATTTTCTCCCTTTTTATTTGCTTCATCTGCTCTAACATTATGCTTAGTAACAAACAAATAATTACTATTAATAGTAGTTAGCATTTGAATAATGTTTTCAAGTATGCAAAGCACTTTACAAATATTATCTTATTTGATCCTTTTAATAATCTTGGGAGGTATGTTATTATCCCTATTTTATAGATGAAGATACTGAAACAGAGAGAGGTTAATGACTTGGCCAGTATCACATAGCTAGTAAGCATCTGAGGACAAATTTGAACTCAGGTCTTTTTGATTCTAAGTCCAGTGCTCTATCCATTACACCACCTAGTTGCCCAACAAACAAATAAACACCCTATTACCCCTTCCAGCTATTACTGTATCTTAGGGGTTCTTCAGTATATCTGTGAGGGAGCTGTCAAGGTTGAGTGATGAATTCCAATAATAACCCACAGTTCTTGGGAGTCTTTCATGAAAGAACTACATCCATTTTCTGGGGCTCCAATTTGCTTTTCTGTTGACTGACAAGTGTCTTAAGAAATTCTGCTTTCTGTCTTATAAAATGGATTATTTTTCTCACTGCACATAGAGATGGTGCTTGTGAAGATGGGTCTGGACTGAGCAGATCAGGTGCTTGGAAACTTGTGAGTAAATTAAAATGTCATCACCACACTATGATCCAGGGGAAACTGGAAAACAATGGTTAAAAATGCTGGGACGTGTTGGTGGGTATTACAAAATGAAAAGGGCTTGGCTGAACTGATGCTGGGATGCTCTTTCCTTTTGTTCTGGCTGTTAAGATTTAGAAGATGTATTGTGTAGCTGTCCAGATCTATAAAAAATGGTGACCTGTACCAAATGACTCAAGAGATCAGCAATGTGGGGAAATGGTATAGTTCTCTGATTATGATGGTATTAATGACACAGTAATAATCATAATTAAATAATAACACATTAATGTTGGTTACCATTATTAGCACTTAAATATATTATGTCATTTGAACCTCAGAGCAGTTTAAGTTTGTGCTATTATTATCCTTACTTATAGATGAAGAAACTGAGGCTCAGAGAGGTTGTGACTTGCCCATAGTCACACAGCTAATAAGTGTCTGAGCTAAGATTTAAAGTCTTCCTGACTTGAAGTTCAGAACTCTATTCACTATGTCACCTAGTTGCTTCATGTAATTATGAACAGACAAATTTTAAAAAATAATATCAGTGCCCCATGAAGAATAGGAGGCAGCTGGACCTCATTTGACAAGAGTTTTGGTAGAGTTTAGGTCTTAGGCCAATGAGGATGGGAACCTTGGGACTGAACTAGTGACACAAATGTCAGTGCACTGGAGAAGCTGAGGATGACTTTTGATGACACTAAAGACATAGTAGTACTCGGATAATGGGGGGGCAGAGCCAAGATGGCAGAGGGAAAGCAGTGACTGTCTTGAGCTCTCTCCCATAGCCCTCCA